GGATCTTCAAGAAAAAGAAAATTTTAAAAGATATTTTTTCTCTTGGCTCTAGCCCTGCAGTCTAAGTTTCTTTCATACATTTCCCCCTATTTACCTTATCCCTCAACCATTTTACCACTTTCTAAACACCCCAAGTGTGAGATGAAGAGACAGCGCCCAGGGGAACAGGACCTGTTCTGGTGCAGAGCACCCGGGGCGGTGAGACGGCAGCTAGAGAGACAGGGGTGAATGGAGAGCTGGTAGAGGTTAGAGGGGGTGGTGCAGGTGAGGGGCATTTGAAGACCCCCAGTTTGGGAGAGGGGGACTAGCTGAGCCCTGGGCACAGAGCAGACAAGTAATAATGGGGAGGTGTGACGCCCGCCCACCAGGTGTTGGCGCACATCAGTGGGGTCACATCAAGCAAACCTGGAGCATCCCTGGTCTACCCCATGCCCTCCCGGAATGTGTCACTGCGGCTGCAGGGCCTGCAGGAGAAAGACTCCGGACCCTACCTCTGTTCCGTGAACTTGCAAGACAGTCAAGGCAGTGTTCGAGGTCACAGCAGCAAGACTTTAGAACTCAATGTGCTGGGTGAGTGAGAGGCACCCATGGGAGGTCGGGCAGGTCTCTCCCCACAAGCGACTGAGTGTGAAGGTTGGGGGAGAGGCAAACAGAGTGACAGGGGGTCTGTGTGTGGGAGCGGGGGAGGGGGAGCCGCTGGCCCCAGGATGTGAGTTTTTAACCTGTCTCCCCTCCCCCAGTTCCTCCAGCTCCTCCATCCTGCCGCCTCCGGGGCGTGCCCCACGTGGGGACCAACGTGACCCTGAGCTGCCAGTCCCCAAGGAGTAAGCCCGCTGCCCAATACCAGTGGGTGCGGTCGCCCCCATCCTCCCAGGTCTTCTTTGCACCTGTTTTAGGTGAGGGAACTTCCGGAGACACTGAGAGTGCGGCTGGGGTAGAGGAAAGATGACGTACCAGAGGGGCCGGGGTGCCAGGGGAGGCAATGCTGAGAAGCACTGGCGGGTGGGGAGGGGGGCTGGAGAAAGAGGCCCTGCCAGGTGCCGGCATGTGCTGCACTGCAGACTTACGTTACTCAAGAGGCGCTGGGGCTAGAAGATCTGCGTTCACTAGGTGTGTGACTTTGTGACTCTGTTTCCTCATCTGTAAAATGGGGATATCAATAGCCCTGATTTGAACACACCAGCTATAAAGAACATTTGGGGGCAATTGGAACTTTTTTTTTTTCAATTTGACTGAGATAATCGATGGAACAATTTTACTATGGAGTACTAGATGCTCTTGGAGAATTAGTGTTAATTTATCAGGTGTGGTAATGGTATTGTGGTTATGTAGGATACTGTCCTTCCTTATTTTTGGAGTTTCATGCTGAAGTATTTACTTTAAAATATATCAGAAAAAAGAGAAAGAGAAATGAAATAAGTATAGCAAAATGTTAGCAACTGTTGAATCTAGGTTGTGGGTATATGGATTTTTATTTCATCCCTCTTTATACTTTTTATTTGACCATTTTTATAATAAAAGTTTTAAAATTATTTTTACATAGAGCTTACCTCATAGGTTTGTTGTGAAACTTTTCTAAGTTAGTACATGTAAAGAACTTAGTCTTTGGTGCAGAGTAAGCAGCCAGTAAACTTTAACTGTTAAAATCATTAGATTGTTTTATATATTCCTTTCAACACAATCAAGTAGGTCGTATTACCCCATTTTACAGATGAAGAAATTGGGACCCAGAGATAGCAGGTAACTTTCTTAAAGTCAATTGACCAGTCTTTCCAAGGAGAAGACTGGTCAATTCTGGATCCTAGGTTTTCTAGTTCCTCACTCAATGTCCTTTCTCTCTCACTCTCTGCCATTCAGAAATAAAAGTAAAAATTGGATTTTGGTTTTTCTGGGCATCACTCCCTCTTTAGCCTCCTTTCAGATATCACTTGGGGACACTGCGTGGTGGAAATGGAGAGGGGCATTGAGCCAGCAGTTAGGCAACTGGGAGCAGAACCCAGCACACTGGCTGTCACACCTTTCCCTTCCTTCAGGGAACGGATAGCCAGGGAGTCTGTCCCAGGGAGTCAAAGAGGACATTCCAGAGGAGGGGCAGGATGTTTTTTATGGGAAAGAGGATCCCTGGACTGACGGCTAAATTGTGTCCACAGATGCCATCCGTGGGTCTTTAAACCTCAAAAACCTTTCCACTTCCATGTCTGGAGTGTATATCTGCAAGGCCCACAATGAGGTGGGCAGTGCCCAGTGCAATGTGACCCTGAAAGTGAGCACAGGTCAGTGAGGGGTAAGTGTGGTTAGGGAGAAGATTGGTCAATGGGGGGTGGGGTGGGTTTGCAAGAGAGGGGAGGAGGCCTTTCATTATAACAGGACAAGGAGCTTGTCTTGGTCAAATGTGCATGCAGGTGCTTGGTCAGTGGCCACCTGACGGTCACCTTCTTCTTAACGAAGAGAGAAAATGTGGATGGTGCTGGTAGGGCAGTGGGGCAGTGGGGTTGGAAAGGGTCAGGGAATAAGCTGAGAGTCCCCCTCTGATGGCAAGGTTTTTCCAGGGCCTGAGGCTACGGTGGTTGCTGGAGCTGTCGTGGGCACCATGGTTGGACTGGGGCTCCTGGTTGGGCTGGTCTTGTTGTACCAACGCCGGGGCAAGGCCCTAGAGGAGCCGGCCAACGATATCAAGTAAGTGTCCCTGGTCTCTGCCAAGATGAGGGCTCTCCTTGGGAATTCGGGCAGCTCTCATCTAACGGAAGGTTGGGCGGCGGCTGAACCATCCTTCCTGTGGGCGGATTTTAAGTGAGAGGAGGGTTGAAGAAGAGGGGAGGTGAGAGTAAGACAAAGCACGTGGGAACTCTCCCCCTTCCCCCTTCCGGCTTCTGACCTCTTATCTTATCGCTTCTTTGATGACTAGGGAGGACGCCATCGCTCCCCGGACCCTGCCCTGGCCCAAGGGCTCAGACACAATCTCCAAGAATGGGACCCTCTCCTCTGTTACCTCAGCACGAGCCCTTCGGCCACCCCAAGGCCCTACCAGGCCTGGTGCATTGAGCCCCACACCCAGCCTCTCCAGTCAGGTCCTGCCCTCACCAAGGCTGCCCAGAACAGATGGGGCCCACCCTCAGCCAATATCCCCCAGCGCTGGGGGGGTCTCTTCCTCTGCTCTGAGCCGCATGGGTGCTGTCCCTGTGATGGTACCCGCCCAGAGTCAGGCTGGGTCTCTGGTGTGACGGCCCAGCCACTCGCTGGCTGAGCATGTGGCTTCTCTCCTTCCTACGGGGGTCACCCCTAGCACAGAGGCCTGAGCCTTGGGAGGGTGGCCGCCTTCCAGACCTCTGGTCCTCTGACCCCACCTTTCTGTACTATGGGGAAACTGAGTCTCAGTTAAGACCCAAACTTCGTGGAGGTAGAAGAAAAGGACGTGGGCCTAGGGTTAGGACGGCCCCCGCCCTGGGCTCTCTCTAAGACTGCAGTGGGATGCTGCTGAGACTGCTACCTCTGCCTCTCCCCCTCATCCCCCAGGGCCTGGTAGGGACCGCCAGTCAACCGGTCCTCCAGGCCCCCTTGGTCTGTACCCCGTCCCACCTAACCTCATCCTTCACTCCCCCTCCAGCTCCCAGCGTTAATATAACCTGTCCTGCTGGTTTGGTTGGGTTTTGTTGGGGCAGGGGATAAGGAAGATATTTTTTATACTAACTTGAAATGCATGGTTTTGTTTTTGTTTTGCAAACTTCAATAAAGATGCATTGCGTTTGTGTGGAAAGTGAGAGTCAAATCACCTTTTCAAGCCTGGAATTCCCAGGAGAAGCTGAGTCTCAGGATGATGCAAAAAGGACCCTGCCCAGGTGGTGGACCCAGAAGGGCTTCTCCGCACAGCCTCCAGCTTGGCTTACTGGCTCGGGATAGGTCTTCTAGAGTCTTTAAAAGGGTCATTTGCTGTCAGGCAGTGGTGGAGAGGCACAAAGAGCCTGGGGCTGGGAGACCCTCACTCACCTTGAGTAGCAAGGGGATAAAATTGGTGACTTTCTGCGGGAGCTTGAGCGCTTACAGCTCAGGTGTGTGTGCACTTATCTCCTGTTTCCTCCTCAAGAGCAGAGAAGAACCTGGCTTCTGCTCCTCTCCCAGACCCCTGAGTCCTTACCCGTCTTCTTGCCCGTCCAGCAGTGACCCCCCTCGTACTGGGGGGGAGCCAGGCACAGGATGTGGTGGCGGTGTGTCCACCCCAGTCCTGCCACACCTTTGCCTACCAAGGGTAGGGGCTCCTCCAGACCTCAGTTTCTCTGCCCGTGAAATGGGGTGGCTCTGGGAGGGGGGAGGGCTTGTAGTTTCCATGGAGACTCCTGCCTCAGCAAGTGGTGGTAAAGGTGTCAAAGAAGGGATCTCAGAGGAGTAACTGGAAGAGGGGCTGAGGGGCTCAGAAGGAACAAGACTCTGAAGGGGGTGGTAGGGCCTTGGCCTGGGGCTCGAGCTCACAGTGTGAGACCCCAAAGTGGTGACGTCATTTGCCAGCTCCCAGGTTATCAGAATGCCTCCCTCTTCCTCCTGGGTCACTCTT